AGTTTTCGCAACTGCAGATGTGCCAGAAAAATAGGTAATATATGTGACTAGGTATTGCAATTTCTACAATCACTTCAATGACTACATCATACTACGCCAAGGCGAAGATGAAGAGGGAACTATGAGATACGCGCAAATACTTCATTCAGTCTTTTGCATCGCCAATGTTCCCGACTATCAAAGAGAAGAGATACACAGACAGCTACTCAGTAAGGAAAGTTTATGTCATTACTGTTGTTACAAAACCTTATACCAGTGGCGGACCGAGGGGGGGGGGCGCCCCCCCCCCCCCCGAGAATGGGTGGCGAACTTTTTGAAACTTACCTATATGGGTTATAAAAATGTGCAAATGACTTGTTTATTTTTGTAAATAATCAAAATATTTTTAAAAATTTTTAAAAATTCAAACTAGCCTCATAAAAAAATTTTTTTCGGGGCATGGCGTCAGCCACGCCCCCTTTTCCCAGATTTTAGGGGTTGGGAACCCACAAAAAATTTGAGATGCACCCCAAAAATTTTTTCGGAGTGCGTGGCTAACGCTATGCGCCTTCATCTAAAAAAAATTTTTGTAGCGCCCACGGTTCCGAAATCCTGCGACCGCCACTGCCTTATACTTATTATACCTTAGTTCTTCTAGTCCCTTGAATCTGCTATTGCTAATTTTTTGGAGTGATCTGTTTCGCGCAGGTCCCAGATTTTTACTACCAGTAAAGGCTAGTGCAACGTCTTTTGTTTTCCTCAGAATCCTTAAATTGGCTCATAGAATCCTTACGAATTCCACTCCTGCTACTTCTCGACCTTCAGTCATCTTTCTCTCTGTAAGATTCAATGGTTGAATAAAACTTACCTTCAGTGCTAACCGCATAGCACGATTTAGAGCGGTATGTTCGTCTTCGGGAATTTGAGGATTGAGAATTAGCAGGATCGGAAAAGTTGTCTATTTTGCTTTGTTCCTCAGACCTTTAGACTTTTCCAGGATCCATGAGGAAGTGTCTAGGCAAATCTGGGCGCATGGATTTTTCGCCTGGAAATTGATGAGAGTGTTTTGACTAAAGCACAGCCCAAGGAGCAGCGCAACTTGTTCATTCACGGCTGAGAAATCCGCCCCCTAAAACCCTGCGCCGTGACCGAAACCCGAAAACGACTTCCGTTCACCTTAACACTGCGTTTGCGCTGGAACCCATTTCAAGTGTTAAGGTCACGACGCAGCCGCGGAGTGTTTGGAATGAATTTCTCAGCCATGCATGAATTATTTGTGCTGCTGTTTGGGCAGTGCCATAACTAAAACCTCCTCTTCAGTTTGCAGGCAAAAAACCCATATGCCCAGATTTGACTGGACACTGCCTTTGAGCCCAGGCCCTATTAAAAGCCATGTCAAAATCAGATTTTCTGATAAACTGCTTGGCACAGAAACACTTCAAGACAATGTGAAAGATAATAAGTAAATAAAGAAGTGACTTTCAGAAAAGCTAAATATAGTAGCTTGTAAACTTCCTTAATGCATACAGCCACTAGCCTTTCACTTTGGATTTCACTAAAAAAATGTGTCTTTTACTGTCGTTAGGCTAACCTCGTTTTCAGTTGGAAGCTCTCCCCATACGACCAAAGGATCAAAAAGGCGATCGGATCTTGAGCAGGCCTTGCTCAACAACAAGACACTTCTTAACCTTCTTATTCGGATATATTACTACGACTTTGCTGTCTTCAATTTCTCCCTTCCTATTATCAATTAATGCCACTTGCTGCCGTAGACTTCGACAAACGTCATGCTTGAAAAGTTTTCCGCTTTGCATAATAAATCTTCTATCGTATAAACCAGTAACTATACCTAGCGACTGCAAAAGATTAACAAATTTAGCACCCTGAATTGAGTATTTTACAGTGGCGTACTGAGGGGGAGCGGAGAGGGAGGGGCGCCCCCCCCCCCCTCCCCGAACGATTCGCGAAATTTTTGAAGGTTACTTACATGAGTTATATAAATGCGCAAATGACTTGCTTGTACTTTTAAATAATTAGAATAATTTTTAAAATTCTTTAAAAATTCATTTTAGCCCTATAAAAAAAAATTTCGGGGCGTGGCTGCGCCACGCACTCTTTTTTGGAAATCTCGGGTTTCTGAGCCCGCGAAAATTTTAAAGAACACACTTTTCGGAGTGCGTGGCTGAAGCCACGCACCTTCATCGGAAAAAATTTTTTGTAGCCCCTCCCCCCCGAGCCGAAATCCTGAGTACGCCACTGGTAATTCAGTATATACATTGTTCGCATGTAAAATACTCATAATTGTTTTCAGACTTTTACATTGAGAAATTATGTGCCGTCACTATAAAGCACACGAGGTAGTATCAAATACGTGACAGCAAGCGAATCTCGTCTACCAAGTTGGCTGCTTTTAGTGACTTCATTTAGTTTGAAGGCTATCCCTAAGCATAGAAACAGCTTCATATCGCCCCCTGTCCGCCGTTTTTTAACCTCTTTTTTCCGAAAATTGCCTTGTTAGATACTGCGCCCCAGCGTGAACTTTTCTGCATCCTCTCCCTTTGAATTTTCGTTTTCAGTTCCAGCTTTTTTTCACTATTTTGATGATCTCTTTCATTATTCTTTCTTCTTCTTCGTCTTTCTTCTGCTCGTTAATTTAATCTTGATCTATTCTGCGACCATATAGGGCTTTATGAAGCAAAACTCGTGATTTTGTGATTTTTCTTTGAGAGTTTGACCTGAAATTGCGAAATTTCTGCTCACAGCAGGTAAATGGTTTTGTCAAGGACTGAGTGAATATGCGGGGATGAATTGTTCGAGGGCTACTGTCAGGCTATTTATAGAATGTGTGCTGCGATCGTTTCGTTCTTCCTCATCGTCATGGTATTGATGTTTGGGGTAAAAAGTCGAAGTTTGCAGAATCTGCTATACATTACGGATTCTGGTTCTTCAAATTTCTCTTGTTCACTGGTTTGACTGTTGATTCTTCATTCGCAGCGGAGATCTGTCTACTCCATTGATGTGGTTTGGTGTGAGTGAAGGTTTCCTCTTCATTCTTATACACGTAGTGTCATCTACCTCGCACCGGTCTGCCCGAAAGTTGATTAGATTCCTAGGAGGAAACCAAATCTCGCTGGTGCTGTGCGGTCTTGCTGACATTTACATTTGAATGTTTTGCTGCTACACTATTGATGTCACACTTATGTTTATCTTCTATACGACCGGAGCAACTTGTGTTCTGCCAAAATTATTCATGTTCCCTACCCCTACTACTGTTTCAAAAAATCTTTTTAAAGAGAAAAATACACATAAAACTGAAGAAGCATAAAAATGCACAAGCATGCGACGACCCTCGCGACGTGTCCTCCACGCGGATACGTGAGAATAAGCGATGGTTTGACGCCATATAGTAGAAAGAACTCCTCCACTTACGTTTTTCTCCTTTATCAGCAACGCCTAACCTAAAAAGCAAAGAATGAAGTTGGAGAATACTAGAAAATACTTGAACCTCGCAATGGCAGTTGTTAACGCCAAGCGTTGTCGCGTCTGCAGGGACACTATATCAAGCAGGAAATCTACTCCTGAGTCGCTTATCTTTATTCTCACACCCCGAGAAAGCTGCTTATTAGGAAGTCGCAAAGTAAATTCAGTGCTTTTCTTAGTTTCATATACTCTAGCGAAATTTTGAATACCCCTGCCTTTCAAGAAACTAGTTGAAATTTTTCCATCTTTGGTTGCTGCTATCGTGATACGCAGAGCCGAATGATGGTCATGGAGGAATGCTGTGATATTTTTGTTTAACTCTCGGACTCAACCCGGAAAATATTTGACAGGTTGGAGGGGGGGGGGTAGAGCAAGGGTCAAAGGGGATTCCTTGAAATTTTCGAAAGTCAGGGCGTACTTTGTTTCCAAAAAGCCTAGAAACGGACTCGTGCAGGGCCCTGAGTCTTATCCATCCACACGGCGAACTACATTTACTAGCTGCACGTCTCCTCACACAAATATGACCAAAAGCTAGACCACCCATCATCTGCAGGAACCGAGCTATTGGAAACGCTGCCAGCACGATTGCAATCAGAGAAAATCGATAACAAACGAAACTTGAAGGGCACTCACCGCTGTTTGCGCCGCCGCTCCGCTGCCCTTGGCTTGGCAACGCGCCCAGCAGGAGAGGTCTAGGCGCGAATTATGATCGCTCCCGATAATGCATCGAGCAGCTTTCTCGTACCCTGTCAAGAGGAGAGGCTTGCGTGGCGCGATCATATTAGATTGTTAAGAAAATAATGTCGTTTTTCATGGCAAAGCCATAAGACAAATCCAAAAAAATATGTGAGGGGTACCATTCGATAGAGCAAGGGAGCTCTACAAAATGACATCCGAACACTGGCAGAACTGGTCGTTTGCGCGAAATTCAAAGCAAAATGTACGAGCAACTGGTGATGCCAAAAATTGGATTTTTGCCCCAGAAAATCCTGCAAACCTCTCACTTGCTCCTGCATGTAAAAGACACATGCGCTTATCCATGGGTACACTTGCTATACTTCTTCCATGCTTAGAAACCAAAATTGAAAAATGAAAAATGGCAGACTCAGCCCCCCATTAGTACTGGGATCCTTCCACACACGCCTTTGTATACTACAAAGCTTCATGACTTTAACCATAAAATTTTGGCCTCGGTTATGCTCTAGTTCTCGGGTAATATCAACTTTACCCGAAAAAACCCGAAAAAAAACATTATTTTCTTGACAACCTAATAATTCGCGCGTTCAGGTTTGGAGTTTGAAGACTTTTATTATTACACTTATTTCTGCAGTGTGACTGATTGTGGCTCAGTAGATAATGGTCTAATTCTCTTCTTTTGGTGCACCTGGAGTGTAAGTATAAAATGAAGATAGAAGAAATGAGTACTTCTACAAAGTAAAATAGTAGCACTCCGTCTTCTATTTAGGCAAAAATACACAAATTTCAATTCACTGCACAGATATGTCATCAATTATTGCTTCAAATACAACACAAAATTCAAATCAATAAATAGTCAAATGTGCATCTTTTGGTACATTATGTAAACTCTTATGAGCTTCGAAAAGCTCCGTCAGCGCTTTGCAATATTCTGCATGTAGTTTGTCTTCTTCTCGTGTGGGATTCTCAACTCCATCGACCCTAAATACGGAAAATATAGCTACCGGTTTTTTGGTATTATTTTCGAAACGGCCTACCTTGTCGGTGCTCCCATGACTGTGGCAATTGGTCTTCGATGTGGCAGCAAGCCAAATGTATAGTTAAATATTCCGCGACCATTAGCTAGCGGAGGGCAAAAACCAGTCCGACTTTTGATAAATTCCTGAATGCGTCAGGTGATTTTCCGGGGAGGCTTCTTTCGTTGATATCTACCTACCTGGAAATTTCTCAGAGCGGTACCTCTAGGGCTCGAGATAGTGTTAAAGACATCGTTTTCTCCAAAATTGTACATAGGCACAAGATCCGCACTAAATGCAAGAATTCGTTGAATTTTACAGTATCTAAGCAATTTGAAACAGAGGATCAAATGCGAGTTTGCAGAAATTCGCAAAGAAGAGTAATGAGATGAATGATATATCAGGGAAAAAATCCAAGTATTTGTAACAAAAATAATTTGCGGAATTTGCTCACTGCAAGTCCGATTTTTGTGTGTATTGTGCAATTGCACCACATAAAATCAAAACAAGCCACTTACCCGTACTGCAGAGCAAATCGGCAGAATCCTCGTCGTGATGAAAGATAAAGAACGTGCGCACCAGGACGAGCATCAAGAAGCTCCTGTGAACCGCCGAGCACTATTGCAATAGCACGACCTGAAAAGCTCATAGCTAATCTTCAAATTTTATAAAGGAAAAACATGGGAGGAAGGAAAAGGGGCAAAAAAGGTGAAATGGGGAAGAGGAGGAAAATCGTCAAAAAAAAATTAAGTCATTACTCAGAAAAATCTTGGTGATCCGGCTGATCTGTGAAATATAGCAGAAAAAAATATAGCTCAAAGCAGGAGGGGCGGGGGCAGTAAGGGTAAGTTGGGAGGGGGGGGGGGGTGGCATCAAAACATTCCTTTGAAACTGAATGAAGCAATGAGCATGCACTTTTTATCGCAGAAACATTTTGATATGGAAAAATATTGCTAATGCTTATAGTCTGCTGCATGGCGAAGGCGCAATATCGTCTGGCGCGAATGCAGCATTATTAGCCGCAGGGCGCATAAGGCGCAGGATTTACGATGGTGGATACGCGCGCGTCGCGTTCGCATCCGTTCAGCTAATACTGCTTCTGCGCCTTCGTCATGCAGTAAACTTTACATAATTGGTTGACCGGGTTTATCTTGGAAAATTATATTTCTAGCTGGGTTTAGTTACCATACCTTCATGTAAGCTGGTTAACAGGCATTTAGACAGAAACCAACTACTACCGAAAAAGCTCACCTTTTCGCGGATTCTCCAAGAGATACTGCAAGGATTCTCTAGATGCTTCGACGCCTCCTAAAAAATGGATGAATTTTGAAAAATTGTCAAAATGCTTCCAACATAGACCTTTAAGCTTACCCAAACCAATGCCAATCTCCCTCCTGAACGGGAAATAAAACTGCCCATTCAAGGTCAAAACTGTTGGTTTGAGACCAGGAAATTTTTCTAGGAATCCTGTTGCGTTCGTCATCATTGTCGCAAAAGCCCCTATGGAAAGGATACCGTGCGGATGAGAACTAGATCCAGCTTATTTTATACTCAAATAGTGAATCTGTAATTAATTTTACCCAATTATGTAGTTCCATCTGGAGGTAGATCGGCAGTTTTGACTAACCGTAAGGGAAAGTAGTCAGCAAAATGCTTCCATAATGGGTGGTACTTATACCAAGTCTATAATAAATCTTTATTATTTACCGATAGGCTTCGATAATTGGTCAGCTTACCCAGTTACGTGAGCCTCGACGAGGTGTACGAAAATCGTAAACGGTCCATATTGCATATAGAACCATAGTCCACCAATAAGATGTGCTGAAGAAAATATAGAACGCTAACTAAAATTGAAAAATACTTAAATAGCATATTATCAATATACAGTCTGTCCCAATTGCAGTGTCATTTCTGCTTGCGGCTGCATTCGCGGGGCGATGAATTAGGTGCTAACCCCGTTTGATAGGACTTGTTTGACCGCTTAAGCCAAACGCCTTTCGAAGCCGTAAACGCAGCGCGAGACATTCGCGGGGCGTGTGAAAGAAGACGCTACGATTGAGATAGACTGTAGTACAGTACTTACCCATATTGAGATGAAAGGTGCGAGCCATACAAAGATGAAATGGGCAACAATTAGTGTCTCTAAACGCCTTTTGAACGGTACTAGCATCGGCGCCCAATCGATCCCAAGAAAATGGACTGGATGGGTAAAGGGACTGAAAGATGATATGTAAGAAGATTGAGGACATAATCAATTGCTTTACTAATATATTTTAGGGAAGGATAGAGCAAAACCCAAATATGGGCGTGGTCGGGGGCCGGACAAGGTAATATTTTGCAGTATTGCAAAGCCGTCTCATATGAATAGTTGTCAAGACTTCCATCATAAAAATCGAAGTGATAGTCAAGATTCATGGTGTCTGAAAAAATTTTTTAATGAAGTTGGAGAGATTTGCATAAAAGTTAAACGCAGTGATTGGATCAGATGATTTAAAATGAGCATATAGTTTATTTCTGTAGCGACTTCTTAGCTTCAAAGTTTATTTTTTGCAGCGAGGATTGGGTGGTTGTATCCTAGTGGAGCCCAGGTTTTGAACAGCATCAGAATCTCAGAATGCTCAGTTTGGCTGGACGGTGCCTTCTAGCCAACAGGCTTCGAAAATAAGCAAACGTAGAATTTCTTGTATGGAATAGACCATGAGGGTGTGTTATGAAGAAAAATGATCAGCAATAGATAGCAACTATATCAAGATTTAAAATCAGTCAAGAAGGTCAAAAAATACTGATAAGCTTATGTGATTGAGAGTTCGTAACAATAAAGATTCAAATTATGACTTTGCCAATAACAGACCAGAGTAAGGAGCAGGGTCAAGCGTGGGGTGCGGCGCGCCACACCTGGGGGGTCGTATTGAGGAGTCAAAAGGGGAGGGGGGTCGTAGTTGGGTAATCTGATAATAGTGAAAACATGACATTCGTATCCTATCCATAATTAGCATGTCAAATAACCCCTGTAGACAAAGTGTGGGCGAATTCTGAAGATTCAAGATACTAGGCTACCTAAGTGAAATGGTCGAATTCCAACATGGTTAACTTTGTTTCAGGGTGAATTAGCTATCCGTTTTTGCACTCAAGACAAAGCACTACTCCTTCTTCGTCCACCTTAGGAATCCCGCTTCAGAAGACCTCCAAACTGTGGAATTAGAATCCAACCAAAATCTCCTTTTGATCGCTGTGCTTTCACCAAACATTACTGAGAGCTAAGAAGACGAATCAGGCTCCAAACAGTCCTATGGAATCTACAAGGTTTAGGCTATCGATTCTGCGGCGGCCGCAGCTTTTAAGGGGGTGTGCCGCACCCCATTAACTATATCAAAATTTTTAGCGAACGTTGTTTAGATGAATCAATAGCCTAGATCTCCTAGTTTTCACAGGAGCGATTTGAGCCTGATTCGTCTTCTTAGCTCTGAGTAATATTTGGTGAAAGCACAGCGATCAAAAGCGAAAAATGGGAAAAACGAGATTTTGGTTGGATCCTAATTCCACAGTCTGGAGGTCTTCTGAAGCGGGATTCCTGAGGTGGACAAAGAAGGAGTAGTGCTTTGACCTGAGTGCAAAAACGGATAGCTAATTCACCTGTGAAACAAAGTTAACCATGTTGGAATTTGACCATTTTACTTAGGTAGCCGAGTATCTTGAATCTTCAGAATTCGCTCACACCAGGAATCCTTCATATTTATTTGTTAGCTGCCAGTATTATTTATAACACAAATCACGGGTAAGATGAACTGTCATCTGCAGATCTCAAAGGTGCAAAAAATGTGTGAGCAACGGGTGTTCGTGAACTTTTAATTTGATCGGTCTGCGGTTTTGGTTTTAGTTGACTACGTTGTGGTAGCTAGGAGCAGTGAAAATGATGAAGGTGAGAGGAAGGGTGGGGAGGATGAAATTTTGGGAAAAAACTAAGTTTATTTGCGTCTGCTAGGAACTCGTGAACTTGTCACCGGAGGGCGTTGACTCCACACCCAGCTGTCTGGTCTTCTGGTCCTGTGATAGACTTGTAATGTAGTAAGCTATTCCACACAAAATACAACCAAGACAGAGGTCTTGGCATATCAACTTTTTGTCAGCACACAATCTTTGAGCTCTTAACAACAACACGTGCTAAGAGCTCATTGGAATTTGAAGGTACTTTGGATGTAACGTTTTCCCAGACTTGTTGCAGTCTCTGCAAGTTCTTCAGAATCAAAATGATTGATGTAACGCAAAAGCTACAAGGGTACGCAAAACAAACTTTGAGCAGAGGTTAGTAGTGTATGCGTAACCCTATTTCAACTGGATTGGCGGGTGAAAGGCGGGGCTTTTGGACCTGCTTATGGCCCCCGCGACGCACCCTGCGTCTTTCTCGCTGTGTGCTCTCTGATCATCCTCTAGCCTTAACCAGGTCACGAAGCCCCGCCTTACAGCCAGAACCCGGCACGAGTCGGTTTCTAGGGTTTCTGAAAACGAAGTCTCCCCTGACTTTCGGAAGTTTTACGAAGTCCCCTTTGACCTATCTGCTTAAGAAAAGATGAAAACAAGAAAGATTTACTAGTCTGAAAGAAAAGACGTAAGATAAGAGTGGAAATCCAAATTGGAGTTGAATACTGCGCAAGCACAAGAGTTTGGCATTAGAGCGCGATATTCAACAAAGCGAGAAGAAATGAAGGCAAAAAACAAAGGAAAGACAATGATATGGAAATGTCTTCATGCTCAGGAATGGATTTTAGACCGGGGAATCCGTCCATGCTAAAAAAATCCGAAACTTATGTAAAGTGACGAAAATATATGCTCCAGACGATCTCAGATCGTCTGGTGGCCGTCTGGAGACGATCTAGTTTTAAGAAAGGTATTACTTCACATAAGTTTTCAAATCTTGTACATAATCCTTCCGCAAATAATTTTCTAAGTATACAGTTCAATTTTGGTGCCATATGCTTCCGTGTGCGCTGTAAACAAGCAATTTATTTATCATTGCGTTGCTTTCAAATCGCGCGCACTTTTCGCCATGCACGATAGAGCATGTCAATCGTGTGATAACCTGTCCGAAAAGCTTGTGTTCGACTGAATGGCGCTTATTCTTGGTGCTCGGTTCCGACTCGTCAAAAACGATATCCCCTTTGCTGTTTGCTTCAAAAACGAAGTTCAGCCTGCTTCCAGACGATCTGTGCCGGGCCCTGCTTACAGCCCGCCAATCTAGTTGAATCAAAGGGCACTGTAGGTATATAAACGGTTGCTGCTATCCAGTGCAGTAGCTAAAATGCTGTGTGCTCTAGCAAGAGGATTGGTAGGGGATTACAGCTAATTGTAGGTAGATTTTCCGCTTAATATAGTGTACTTGCTCTGTAGGTATTAGGTTGGTCCAAAAATAATGTCCGTTTCTTAGGCTTATTATCCAAACTCGATATAGCATTTGCATAACATTGGAAAGCTTTCTTTATGTACTTTCTCAATCGCGGCGCGATTACGCTTTTTCATCATCTGTGAGGATTTCAGTTGTATTTTTCACACCTACACTCCAAATTGAAACTTTATCGCATTCATTTTCTTTGCTACAATTCAGGAGCAAACGACTTCCTTTGCGAACATAACTACTTTATTGGACAAAAATTGTTTAGCTATTGCTTAATTAATTTTCCCGAAATATACGGATTGAGAAATCAACGCACCAAAATAAATACTCATTGCTGGCATTCTATTGGTCAAAACTTCCTCATGATTAAGGCAATTGCCAAAGCTTCGCTCATTTCTGTAAAAGATTAGACTTTCTTGTCCATATTGCAGAAAAATTTAGCTATTCAGTGCACAAAGAATTTCAAATTTTTATGTGGGACTTCTTGGCTTACCACATATAGGCTTAAAGAAGTGGACAGCTTTGAATTTTTATCTTTTCTTTTTGCCGAACTCCTTCGTTGAAGTCTCTTTTCTACGCACAAACTGCTGAATTGCGGCTATAAAATAACCCGATTACTAGCCATAGGAACAAAATTTGAAGGGAATTGGAATCTCTCAAAAACGAGTCTAAAAGAGGAACTTTCGGTTTTAAGACTCATGGTTTTCTTCCCGTTGGTGATCTTAGTATGAACAAATGCGCGCTAGATTACTAAAGGTTTACTGCTTTCGATGGTCTTTACTATATTCAAAAATATGAAGTGGACAAAGTTGAGCTTTCCATAGAAAACACAGACATTATTGCAACAGCCTAATAAAATGTGGTAAAATTTGCGCGCGAATAAATAGATGCGCCTGTGACTCCGGTCGATGACGCGCGCAAAATGTCCACATTACTGGTGTGACTTTTGTTCACACGCAAATTATATCGCATTTTGTATGCAGTGCAAGCACACTATATTAAGCGGAAAATTCACTCGACTATATATTCGCTAATAGGCTCCACCCCGCGCGGACATCTGCCACATGTTCGTAATCCCATAATGTGGGGAGTGTGAT